GTACAGTTTTAAGAAATGGGAGTGTTATCGGCGAAGACTATTACGAATTCAAGTACGTACAGTTTTAAGAAATGGGAGTGTTATCGGCGAAGACTATTACGAATTCAAGTACGAACAGTTTTAAGAAATGAGGGTGTTATCGGCGAAGACTATTACGAATTCAAGTACGTACAGTTTTAAGAAATGGGAGTGTTATCGGCGAAGACTATTACGAATTCGAGTACGTACAGTTTTAAGAAATGAGAGTGTTATCGGCGAAGACTATTACGAATTCAAGTACGAACAGTTTTAAGAAATGAGGGTGTTATCGGCGAAGACTATTACGAATTCAAGTACGTACAGTTTTAAGAAATGGGAGTGTTATCGGCGAAGACTACACTTGAGAGACTAAAAACGATGGTGAAATCATCACTGTAAACATTTTAAACCGATAACAGCATTTCCACTATCTTTCGTTGTTCAAAACTAATGTCAATTGCATTTTTTAATTGTGTTGCAAGCCACCTACCTTGGACACACATGCTTAAGCTGTTGCTAGCAGTTGGTAGTGCTGATCTAGCAACACGATTTATCTGTTGAAACTTACTTTTGTTCAGTGCAGGGGAAGGAAAGTCCCTCTTCTTCCTGAACACATCTCGCGTCTACTTGTGTTCCAACGACTATTTTATTTTCTACTTTCTCGAAAAATATTCAATGACAAAGTTTATGCATGGAATCAAGTACATAACACAATAGGAAAACATGAAAGGTAAGGTGGCCCAAATAATTATGTATATTATAACAAGATAAAATTTTGAAGCGAAAAGGCGTGAGTATTTTTTTTACCATCTTTGTAAGTCTAACTTTAATTCGAGAGTATAGTACTGTAATAGCAGTTTTCTAATGTGAGGGCTGTTTTTTTTAGTAGGGATTATTCGATAGCAATAATAATGTAAATTCCTGTTTGCTTAATGATAACAAGAACGTTTTATTTCTTCGACTACAAATCCACTGTACTACTTACTAATTTAGACCTGGCATGACCTGGTGGTTATGACACTCCACTAGCAATGTGCGGTTGCAGGTTCGAATCCTGTCCCCAAAATGCTTGTCCTTTGAGCCGTAGGGGCGCTATAATGTGACGTTCAATCCCACTTTTCATTGGTAAAAGAGCGGCCCAAGAGTTTGCGGTGAGTGGTGTTGACTAGCTGCCTTCCTTTAGTCTATCAGTTATAAATTAAGGACGGATAGACCAACTAACCCTTGAGTAGCTTTGAGCGAAATTAAACAAACAAACTTACTAAACTTTCCTCGTAGGACGGCAAATTATTGTATCTCTAGTGCTTCATTGAAACGTAAACTGAATGTTCATAAAACTGATTAAAAAAATTCGTTAACTCAATAATCAAACTACCATTGCAACAGGCTCATAAGTCAGTCAATAATCAACACTAGACTAGCTCGCTTTTTATATAACTCGAATTGTTTCCTAAACCTTAAAGAAAATTCCAGATGTTAAGCCACGCTGTCATTGTGTGATGTATAAGCTCCCTCTAGATAACATGAATACAAACGTCTAAATTAAGCAAAAAAACACAGCCTATAACATTACACTCAAACAAGATAATACGAAAGATAAGCCAATTCAATTGATAACCTTGAAAAAACAGTGTAGTGAAACGAAAATGTCTTAATATTATCTATACGACATTTCTAACTTGAATGTTTAGATTAAAACGTTTCGAAAAGGCAGTCTTAACAGCATTCGATATTTTCCAGTTTTTGCACAAGTGTTGAAACCAAACTTGCATTAACAGTCAGTAGTTTTAAGGACAAACTCGTTTCGAAAGACTTTATAAACATACTCACTTCTAATAAGGTTTCTTTATAGACGTTGTGCTGTAACCATAGCAACAGTGACTTCGCTATTATGTATCTGATTGTAAAAGTTCAATGCAAGAGAGCAGAACTTAACTAGCCTCGTCGAAAATTCAAGCCAAATCAATTGTCTTGGAGTTTATACTTATTATCACGTGCTTCAGCATATATTTTGATCACGTGGCCGGCTATCTGGTCATGTGGCAATATAGTTTACACAAGCACAGACAAAAAATAATTTTTGTTGTTGTTAAGCGCAAAGATACACAATGGGCTATATCTTCTCTGCTCGTCGACAGTATAAAAATCCATTTCTTAGCTTCGTAAGCCCTTAGACTTACCTCTAATCCGCCGGGGCAGGGCAACAAAAATATTAACGATGATATATTTACTCATACCCAAAAATGTTTAATAATGTCAGGGAACTATTTTTTTGTTTTTTAAGAACGTTGAGCCAATGGGGGCATAGGGTAATAAAAAAAGTTTTACTAAATTGAAAAAGAAGGACAAGAATATAAAGTAAAAAAAAATATCCCTTTTCACATTAAAGACTAATCACAGAATACATTTACCCGCAATAATACCCCTTAAATAACAATAAACTTGAATGGAATTCAATAAAAAGAGTGTTCGTCTAGTATTAAAAACACGCATAATCCAAAACATCGTACAAAAAATAAAGAGATACTCAGACGAACAGATAAACAGATCTGTGTAGGGGTGGAAATGGTTGGTACATAAACTACTACCTTGGAAGTCTGAAATAATAAGACGTAAAAAATGAGTTGATAAATCGACAGCTTATAAAATCCATTCATGTAGTTGTTGTTTGAGTGATTTTTTTATAAATCAAACTTAATAACACAACAAGCCTTTTAATCACAACGTGTCCAATAATATAACTAACTTATATGTTCTCTTTTGTTGCATAAACAGTTCAGAAATCGAAGTAAATCGAATTTATAACCCAGTCTGTTTTTCGTTATCTTTATCTCACATCGAGCTGGGGTCTAGGCCATTCAGCAAACACAAGGTCGTGTTTTCATCATTAATATACATTGCACCAGGTGCAGTATTCCGCTTGTGTGCTTTCTACACTTCCTAATCACTCTGTAATTCCAAAAAAGAAAGTAAACGCTTTCATCCTCACTGAACTCCAATTTCTTTCGACTCAGGGAGCCAATTGTGCATTAGTTGGTTCTGTATTAATATACTAAAGGACACGAAATGTAGACACATCAGACAGTCATCACCTGACAACACACGTTTTCTATTCGTTTGAAACACGAATAACTGGAAGAGATAACATTTATTATTGTCTAGTTAGTTATTAAATGTAATTACTAGAGTACAGTCTCTGAAACAAATACATCAAAGGAGATAACACCCTTGCTTTAGAGATAATAAGAACAATGTTATGCTTAGTTTTTTTCGAACTAATCCGCCAGAGGAAATATGTTAAATTTACTAATAATAACATATGTGACAAAAGTATCTACGAGATAAAATAGATTAATTTTGATAACTACTGTATTATTTTACTAATCAACTATCAGATAAAATAAATCTTCTTGATTTATACAAACTTTCCTGTTATTAAAAACACAAAATATGCTTATTTCTTTCTTATATTCAATTGTTAGAACATATGTGAATATTTTAAACATTAATACATTTTTTAATCACTCCAGGATATTTTTCAATTACCAGAAAAAAACTATTGCTGTTAATTCCCGCTAATCCCACTTTCAGTGACGACAGAAAAGGGAAGGGCAAGTCCAGATCAGACACGACACAGTTGATGAAGAAAAACGATCAATAGTGAAACTTTATCGACTCCATTTGACAATTAGTACTTTGACAAGGATTAGAGGGCTTAACTTTGACCTGAAAACTGTCGCCTTAATCCAGTACGATTTTTTAGCGATTGTCAATTTTCCTCTTTTGCTAGATAAGTTGAAACCAAATAATTAGTTAGACAGTTTCATCAAGTTAGAAAACATAAACTATTACATTGAAGTTGTGAAATAAAACTTACTTCCTACATTTGCTTACCTTTCTTTGAAGTTGCGTTATCCATTTTTGACCAGTACAGCTTACGACGAATAACAGATAAGATCAAAGGCCCTATATCGCTAAGTCAACAAACTTAATGAAATTTGAACCCCGCCATCTGGCGGCTGGCATTATAGCACTTATCATGCTACTTATTCATTTAACTACAAACATTATGAGACTTTCGGTAATTTAGTGCTTACAATTAGGAATACTTTTTTCTTCTTCCTTTTTATATGAGATCACAGCTAGAGCGGAAAACCAATACTTATATAATGTTTACACACTTTGGTGTTTATTAATTCAAACAAATGATCCCATTTAGCGTAAATGTTTCAAGAAGTTTGTGAGCGGTAATATGAACTCATCTGATATTAAAAGGTGTTGCATCCAATTGTTTGCAGTAACGCACGAAAAACACATCAAACATTATTACATACTAGATAAAATATTTTTACTGAAGTTTATAAAATGGGCATACACATCAGCGTGTTTGTAAATTATAAAATACACCATTAAAACTTATGAATACAAACAAGTGATTCACTATTCGAATGTACAACAAGATAGAAGACTACTGTGAAAACTATAAGGCTTATATTCTTATACATAACGCGTATTTTACTATGTTAAAACTGATTCATCATTATGTTAATATACAGGATTAGCCACAGAGTAAAACATTTAATGCTACAAAACTGATAATTACTGTACGTAATACACTTTACAAAAATCACTTGTTCAATTTCTATGAAATTTGAGCATTAACACGTGGCTCAGAAAGTCACGAGACTACCTTGTACTAATTGTTTTGTTTCTTTTTTTTCTATAGTAGATTGTTTGTTTGTTTGTAATTAAGCACAAAGCTACACAATGGGCTATCTGTGCTCTGCCCACCACGGGTATCGAAACCCGGATTCTAGCGTTGTAAGTCCGCACACATACCGCTGTGCCACTGGGGGATCCGTAGTAGACAATGTCTATTCTACCAGAGAGGATATTGAATGAACATATAACACCCGCGTTGAAAGGATTAGCTACTGTAATATCCTTTGCTGTCTGAGTTGACGTTGACAAAAGGCCACGAGGTGACGCTATAAACTGAAAGAAAAAAACAGGGGAACATTTTTGGTTCAGTTCTACAAGAAGATGAAGATCATCAAGTGAAGGTCGTTCTTTAAAATTGTCGTGTTTTAGGCCTACAAACCAATCCTGAGAGAGTGAATGCTGGGAAAAAAAGCACAGCCTAGTAGAGATTCGACTGTGATTCTATCTCCACAAGTACGCACGTCAAATTTTCTTTTCGTCTTTTCTGTAATAAAGATTGGACCCGTTTTTGTTAAATTTGTACAGCCTTACTATTTCACACACATTTGGATAGTTCAGTTAAATTATCAGATTCAAAATTTCTCTTCCTATTTCCTGAGCGAATTCATTGTTATTAGAAGGTCTAATATCAGATACTTGTCAGTAAATTACTTTTTACTTGAAAATACTACAACATCATGATTGAGACGTTCTTCTACTCTACATTAGACTAATTTTTACACTCCTCACGAGCCTAAAACACCAGTGATGTTGAGACACCATTACAAAATGATTCATCATTCTGTATGCTAATAAATAATTTTCGTAGATGTGATGAATTGCTGGAAAGTAAAGGGCCTTGGAAGATTCGGATTTGTTTATTTTTAAGCACAAAGCTACACAATAGTCTATCTGTTATATGCTCACAGTGAAAATAGAATCCCAAAGTTTAGAGTTTAAACTTCTTAGGCTTAACGCTGAACCACTGAAGAACGGAAAATTTGGTTTTAATATTAAGTTTCTAAAATAACTGATTTACATTTGAAAATTGGAATGATAAATAATAACGTTTTAATTGGTCTAATGTTCTAAAGAAGGATTTAGGCCCGAAACGTTATGTCAAATTAAAGTTTTTTTTATATTTTATTGCCATCTATATGGTGTTTTTTCTCTTTCTTAAACTTTATCTTAGATCTTCTGTGTAGTTTTATATATATATATATATTGTGTCTGAAAAATTCGGTTGTTGTTTTACATAAAGTTACAAAATAGGCTATCTGTGCTCTGCCTAGAACGGGTATATAAACCCGATTTATAGCATCGTAAGCCTATAGACTTCCCGCTGAGCCACTGGGGGGGGGGGCGTCAAATTCGGGAAAATACTGGGAACAAACAAAGTAATGCTTGGGATTTAAAACAAGAAAAACACAATGCAATTGATATAATTAGGCTCATTAAACAC